GACCAGGAGGAAGCACTTGGCTCCTGGCTTCGGATTGGCACAGCACGCTGGCTATGGCGGCCATTTGGGGGGTGAACCAACAGAAGGAGGACCTTTCTCTCTGTCTCTCTCTCTCACTGTCTAACTCTGCCTGTCAAAAAAAAAAAAATTAAAAATCCACAAATAAGGGCCGGCGCCGCGGCTCACTAGGCTAATCCTCCGCCTAGCGGCGCCGGCACACCAGGTTCTAGTCCCGGTCGGGGCACCGGATTCTGTCCCGGTTGCCCCTCTTCCAGGCCAGCTCTCTGCTGTGGCCAGGGAGTGCAGTGGAGGATGGCCCAGGTGCTTGGGCCCTGCACCCCATGGGAGACCAGGAAAAGCACCTGGCTCCTGGCTCCTGCCATCGGATCAGCGCGGTGCGCCGGCCGCAGCGCGCCGGCTGCGGCGGCCATTGGAAGGTGAACCAACGGCAAAGGAAGACCTTTCTCTCTGTCTCTCTCTCTCACTGTCCACTCTGCCTGTCAAAAAAAAAAAAATCCACAAATAAGGTAAAAGACCCCAAGAGTTCTGTCTGGGCACCTTCTGCTCCCAGGACTAAGCATGAAGTTGGAGTATGTCTTCAGTCCTTTTTCTTTTTCTTTTTTTAGGTTTAAAAAATGATGAGAGAGAGAGAGAGAGAGAGAGAGAGAGAGAGAGAGAGAGAGAGTTTATCTGCTGCAGGGCTGGGCTGAAGCCAGGAGCCTGGAACTCCACCTGGGTCTCCCGTGTGGGTGACAGGGGCCCGAGTACTTGAGCCAACACCTGCCGCCTCCCAGGGACTGCGTTACCAGGAAGCTGGAACAGAGCTGGGACTCAAACCCAGGCCCCCAGGCCCTCCGATCTTAGATGCAGTGTCCCAAGCGGCATTTAAACTGTTAGGACAAACTCCATCCCTCCAGTCCTCTTTTCTACGTGTTTACACGTTTGTGTCGATATGGAAGGGAACGGCTTTGCCGGTGCCTCTGCTGGAGCAAGCGCAGGTACGATGCGTCTTTGGCTTTGCAGCCGTCACCGCCCCTTGGTAATAGGTCCTGGCACTCTTTCCATCCAACCCGATGTTCTTTCAGAATCTCTGTGTGGTTCTCTGCGGTGGGGATGGGCATTCAGGCTGTCGTTGTCTGCACCACCAGGGCCCCTTGGTGAGAGGGGTGCACTTTCTACATGTAACTGTTCCCCCCACTCTTGACTGTGACCCTGAACATGAAAGCAGCTTGGTGAAGTGAGAAAATGCAGTGTCTGGGGCCAGAAAGGACTGAATCTCCAGTCCGGCGCTTCCCTACTGTGTGGCTCATTGTCCCTCTCCGAGCCTTGGTCGCCTCCTCTGTAAAATGGGGCTAATAACACCCACCTCCCTGAGGGCTCGAGAGGCTTGGTGAAGACCAAGTGCTGATGCGTAGTAGGAGTTCAGTAATGGGGGTGATCGTGCCGACCGAGGCACTCAGCTCCGGTAAGGGACCCTGTGCTGGGACGGGGGAAGGTCCCACCCCTCTCCGAGCAGAGAGAGGTCTTCCATCCTCTGGTTCACTCCCCAAATAGACACAACAGCTGAAACTGGGCTGATCTGAAGTCAGGAGCCAGGAGCTTCCTCTGGGTCTCCCATGCAGGTGCAGGGGCCCAAGGACTTGGACCATCTCCTACTGCTTTCCCAGATGCATTAGCAGAGAGCTGGATCGGAAGAGGAGCAGCTGGGACATGAACTGGCGCCCAAATGGGACGCCGGCACCGTGGAGGCTCAGCCCACGACGCCACAGCGCCGGCCTCTTGACTGTGTTCCTGACTTCAGCTCTTTGGAAGAGAAGAAAAGGAGACCCAGGGCTGTACCAGGGAACGCTAGAGGGGTTCAGCTCCGCTTCGCCCCTCCTCTGTCCCCAAGAGCTCTGCTCGCGAGATCTTCAGCTCCCCCGCGTCCCAGAGCTCTGACAAAGGCAGGACTGCCCTGCCCAGGTCACAGGGGTCGGGGGTCGCTGTGAGCGGACCTTCTGGAAATGGTGTCTCCTCCTCCCCACACTGCCTGTCCCATCGGATGGCAGCAGTCTAAGGCCCTGCAGGTCACAGGAGCCTCGTCCTCCAGGCCCCCCACAGGGGCTGCAGACGCCATACAGAGTCCACTCTGGAGGAGAGAGATGTAGAAGAGGAGAGAGAAAAGCGAGCGAGTCCCCACCTTCTCCCTTGCTGACTTGGGCCAGTCTTCAGCACAGACTTGTGTCTGGTGGGCGTGGAGAGGGAGACAGCATCTCCCATGGGCAGACCCGGGCTACAGAAGGGTCAGGCATCTGTCCTGAAGTCGGTGCTACTCTGGGGAGGCCGGAGCTGCTGGCAGGAGCACAAGGCCTGGGGTGCTCAGCCACCACAGCGGCACACACACATCACGGAGTCAGTGTTACGGCTGCCAAGGGTTCAGCACCTGCTCCAGGCCCTGCACCTTGCAGTCTACCCACAACCTCACTGCGACTGTAAACTGTTCATTCCTCCCATTTTACAGACAGGGAAACAGAGGCTCTGTTAAGACTACAGAGTGGGCCGGTGGTAGAGCATGATCTGAAGTCAGAGCACCTGTCTTCAAAGCCCAGCTTTCGCCTCGATACCAAGCTGCCCCACCAAGATGGGGAGACAGCAAGGTCCTCTTTTAGGTTTCTCTTGTGTGAATTTCTTCTTGATATTTGGGGTTTTTAAAGAAAGAACTATTTATTTGACAAGTAGAGTGACAGAGAGGGGAGACAGAGAAAGATCTTCTATCTGCAGCTTCACTCCCCAAATGGCTGCAATGCCAGAGCTGGGCCAAGTTGAAGCCAGGAGCCAGGAACTCCTTCCTGGTCTGCCATGTGGGTGGCAGTGACCTGAGCACTTGGGTCATCTGCTGCAGCTTTCCCAGGTGCATAAGCAGGGAGTCGGATGGGAAAGTGGAGTAGCTGGTTATGGGATGCCAGCATCCCAAGCAACAGCCTAACTCACTGTGCTGCAGAGTTGGCCCCTGTTCTTGATACTTCAGATTTCATCTGGGTGAACACATTGAGGGGTAGGAGTTACCACGTACTCCGAGCACCCCCACTCCTGTGTGGACAGATAACAGGTAGCTGGGTTTCAGCACCATGGACAAGACACTGGCTCTGGACGCTGGGAGGAGGCAGGGAGGGAGAAGTGGGCTTGGAAAGAGGCCCGTGTGCAAGAGGAGGGTGGGGGCCGCTGGCTTCAGTGCTCCCTGGGGCTGACACATCTTGTTTTTGCCTCCTCCACCCCCTTTCCATCTGTGACAGGTTGCCTGGGAGTCTGATTGCCTCCCTCTGACTTCATCTCCTTGTACCCAGCCCACCTCTGGCTGCTTCAGGAACTAAGCTGGGCTGTCTTGCAGTTTAGCAGGTACAAGGCAGATCCCTGGCTCCAAAGCCCAGACGTGTGCCCAGGCAGCACTCACACCCTTTGCTTAGTTCATGAAGAACTATGCACACCCTTGCACACTGCCAATACATAAACTCTAAGTGCAGGCGGGTCTCCCTCTGTGTGGATCTGACCTATGAAAACCTGATTGATCACAGCACACAGCTTGGAGCCATCAGGGACCCCTCGAGCTTCCAGAGTGGAAGCCTGGACATTTCCAGGGGTCTTGGAACCCTCTGAAAATATATGAAAAAATTTATTTTTCCTTTTGTGTGTTACATGCTTCTATTTTCTGGTGAGAAATTTTCGTAGGTTTCATTACATTTTCAAAGGACTCGTAAAGTGAAAAACAATAAAAGAACACTGGGCTACAGGATGGTCCAATGCAGAGAGCCTTTGAAAATTTGAGCCTGTGGGTTGCTGGCTTCAAGGTCAAGCCTTAGCTCGCCGTGCCCATGACCTTCGGTGGCTGCTGGGGAGCAATCTCTCCCCCTCCCTCCTCCGCCCTCCCCTCTTGCACCCACTTGCTGAGAATGGAGGTGCCTGCCAGGCCACGGCGTAACAGAGTAGTAAAATGCGGAAGCCGCTTGCACTCCTAGTAATCTATAAGAGCTTTAATTGCAAACATTTGCTTTGCTCACACATTCTCAAGAAAAGCACTTCTGTTTTGTGGAGGAGGAGGTAATTGAACAGGCAAAAAACCATTATCCCCAAACGGGAAGAGAATTCATACATAAAGAAGTCGCTAAGCCCTGGACAGCAGCAGCCCTCAATCTTGAGTGCCATTCAGCGGTAACTGATTCCTGTGTTGCAGGTGGCAGAAGGGGCGGGGGCTCCTTGTGATGTGTGCTGGCTTGTGTTGGGGGTTGTTTTTCCAGGGAAGGAGGTCATTTCTTGAGATTTACTTATTTAAGAGGCACGGGGTGGGGGGGGGGGGAATCTGCTACCTGCTGGTTCACTTCCCAGATGGCTGCAATGTCCAGGGCTGGCCAGGCCCAAGCCAAGCTTCTGGAGCTCTATCTGGTCTCCCACGTGGGTAGCAGGGGCCCAAGCACCTGGGCCATTATCCACTGCCTTCCTAGGTGCATTAGCGGGGAGCTGTATTGGAAGAGGAGCAGCTGGGACATGAACCAGCACTAATACGTGATGCCGTGCCCCAAGGATGGCGGTTTTCCTGAACCACCTGGTTGTGTGGGTAGAGCTCCTCTGCTCCACTGTACCCCTGGAGCGTCTTGTGACCCTCTGGGTGAGGTCAGGATCAGGGCGCAGTCTCTCTGGGGTGAGGGCTTAGCATGGACCAGGATCAGGGCTCCATCTGGGTTCCAGACCTTGGTTGAGGAGGGCTCTCTGGTAAATGTCAGGGTTCAGTCTGGGACCACGGTCAGGGCTTAGTTTATTGCCGATGTCAGGGCTTGGTCTGCAGCCGGGGTCTGGAGTCAGGGCCAGGCCGCAGTCTAGGACTCCAGCTGGACTCAGTCAGGGATGCAGGATAAGTTTACTGCTGGTACGAGGGCTCAGCCCAGAATCAGGGTCGAGGCACAGTCTGTGGCCGGGCTCAGGGTCCGAGTGGGGCTCCTCAGCCGGCTCCCACAGCTTTCCTTCTGCAGGTACCCAGGACCCCACGCCCAGGGGTGGAGTCAGCTGACAGCAGGCGTCTGGCCACCAAGCACAGCAGGAAGGCGCTGAAGGCCAGCCTGACGCTGGGCATCCTGCTGGGCATGTTCTTTGTGACCTGGCTGCCCTTCTTCGTGGCCAACATCGTCCAGGTAACACCAGAGCAGGGGCAGGTGGGGGAGGGAGCCGGCTGTGCTGGCTCTCACGGGACACGGATTTGCGTCTGTTCCATGGGGGCAGTCTGCGTCCCTGGCCCTGGCCTGGCCTGGGCATGACATGTCCCTCCTCCCCTCCCCCCAGGCTGTGTGCGACTGCATCTCTGCCGGCCTCTTCGACATCCTCACGTGGCTGGGTTACTGTAACAGCACCATGAACCCCATCATCTACCCGCTCTTCATGCAGGACTTCAAGCGGGCCCTGGGCAGGTTCCTGCCTTGCCCGCGCTGTCCGCGGGAGCAACAGGCCAGCCTCGCCTCCCCGTCCATGCGCACCTCCCACAGCGGCGCGCGGCCGGGCCTGAGCCTGCAGCACGTGGTACCGCTGCCGCTGCCGCAAGACTCGGACTCAGACTCCGACTTGGGTTCCGGTGGCTCCGCGGGCCTGCGGCTCAGGGCACAGCTGCTGCTACCCGGAGAGGCCACCAGGGACGTGCCACCGCCTGCCAGGCCCACTGCTGTCAATGTCTCCGATATTGATCGCACGGAGCCAGAGCTGCGGCGGCATCCACTTGGCACCCCCACGAACTGACTGTGGCTTGCTGCTGGCCGGCAGGGAGCTGGAGCCGGCGGGACCAAGCTTTGAGGCCTTGCACCAGCTCTTGGCTAAGGCCAGGAGGCTCCAGGTCTCCTGGGAGTGCTCTGAGCTCCAGGCCCTCTGCCAAGAGGGAGGAGAGCTGGCTTGGATGGAGGTATCTGCAGAGGGCTCGATTGTTGTGGTTTGTGTTGAGGTTTGTGAGAAGGCTCTGGGGGTTGGGCAGAAGGACCTCTGGGCTCCAAATAGGATGACATGCCCATCCTTTGCCCATTTGGAGGCTGCGTGGGAGGGGGGCACCTCCATATGTGGACAGGGGCCAGTGCTGGGCCTGTTCTTATTCAGCCCGCGGGCCGCTGGCATCACTGTCACCTCCAGGGAGTTTGTTAAAAACCCGCAGACATGCTGGACCAGCATGCACGTTCACAAGGCCCCCGGTGAGCCGTGCACACGTCCAGCCTGGGATGTGCTGGCTGAGGCCCCTTAGCCCCAAGACGGACCTGCAGCAGTTTGGTGTGAGATCTGCCAGCTCCCAGGATGTGTGTGGCAGCCTGGGAGCCAGGCAGGCACATGGCTGAGCCTCTGCATTGCCACTTACCAGCTCCGGGGCCTGGCTCAGGTTCCGTCGCCGGAGTCTCAGTTATCCCATGTATAAAACAGGGTGATGCTGCCTACCTCGTCGGGTTGACCGGGGATTAGGACCACGCATGCTGAGTGCTCAGTGGTCAGGGATAGGTTGTTCTCCACCCAGGGCTCCCTTGGACTTGGACGGGGATCAAACCAACTGGCCCCCCTGCCTTCTGGCCTCCACTGGAGTCAAGTGTGGGACAAGGGGCGGGGGCTGCAAAGGAGCAGCCCCTGGTGTGGAGCAGGCCGCAGGCAGAGTGGAGTCTGGCACGGGCCTCGTTCCTTTCGGGCGAGACGGAGGCCCTCTTGCTCCCCATGGTTTACCCGCAATGTTTCTTTTCAGCACAAGCCTTTTCTGGAAGCTCCCCGACCAGATCCTACCGACTCTGCCCTGGGGCTCCTCGGCCCTGGCCCGGCACTCTCCTTGGTGCTGATCAGATTCAACCCCGGCTCCGGCCGCTGGCTGCACTGGAGCCACGGTGCTCGCTGGGGTCCTCTGTGCCCCCCAGGCCTTCTCAAGGGCACTCTCAATAAATAGGAGCTGACGCAGTGAGCGCGGTGTGCACTGGATTCGACCCAAGGCCACTCGGGGCTCGAGCAAGCAGCTGGTGGGGGAAGAGACCCTGGCACAGGCGTCCTGGTTCCGACTCTGCCCCTAATCGGCTTTCGGGAGCCCCACAAAAGCACTTCCTTTCTCAGGGCCCCTTTTCCCCCACATGACGTGAGCTGCCTGGGGCTAACAGCAGCAGGAGTTGTGCAAATGTTGAATGAACACACACACACAGCAGCCCAGCTCCTGTCCTCTGCGACTCTGCTGCTGCGCCCCCCACACCCCCCACCCCTGTCCGTACTTCTGCCTGGCCTCGGTTTCCCCATCTGCACAATGGGGGAGAAGTGTTGGGGACAGTGGGAGGAAGGCTCCCGTGCCTGCGCCTACAGTGGCTGAGAACCCGGGCTCCGGAGCCCCAGTGACCGCGGTTGTCGACTCTGCCCTGACCGGCTTATGACCTGTACGCGGCAGCTCCCCTGAGCTCCCAGAACTTCCAAGGTAGAAGAAAAGGTCAAACAAGGTTGTGAAGGTCAAGTGGAAGGCTAAGTCCTCAGGCCCCGGTAGATACACGAGTGGCAGCTTTATTGTGACCCACTGTGGTTATCATCCTTGTCCCTGTCTCCCGTGTAACCCATTGTTGACCCTGGGCCCAGGTCCCAGCCACACTGAATGCTGACCCAGCATTTCTGTTCCATTGATAGCTGGGGCCACCGTGTTGTACAACTTCGGAGGGTACCATTCGCATCTGTGTGACTGCTGTCCGTGTAGTTGTGCAGCGCACAGCCTACGCGCTGTGCGTGGCAGATCAGATCGGATCTTCTAAGAGCAGAGAGGGGAAGCTGTCCCTTTTGCATCTGCGCCTGCTCTGCAGGTGCCATCAGCAGGCCCCGGGCTGGTGGCAGCCCTGGAGGGAGTGGGAGTGGGATACACAGACAGCTGGCTCCCCGAGGCCAGGGACAGGCTGTGTGGGCGTCTCCCAGATGGTCCTCAGGCCTGCCCGATGGGACCTGTTGGACAGGGAGCCTCAGGCAGGGTTGGAGGCCCGGAGCTCTGCACTGCGCTGGGCTCACCGTGCAGCTCCCAGGCCTTGCTGCCCCCGGGAGGGAATGTTGGCTCCCAAAGCTCCCGTCCCCCCAATTCCAGTTCCTTCCTTCAACCTAGGGAAGGTACGTACAGGAATCTGCACCGTCACAGCTCCCGGTGGGGCGGGGGGGATGGGAACAAGTGGTTAACAAACAGCTGCTATAGCAATCCGCAGGGGCGGCTCAGGTGCGCCGGGGTCAGTGCAGCCCTGGGCAGGGCCCCTGGGTCTCCTGGGTGCAGTCGGGACAGCCCAGTGGGTTGCTTTCCACACCGTGGCTGCAGATACAGGGGCTGGCGGCAGCGGGCAGGGAGTCCCCGTCAGACTGGTGCAGGCCCTCTGGCGCTGGTGCTTGGCTGGGGTCGCTCGGAGTGTCTCCAGCTTCAGGACCCTGTGATTTTCCATCCTGGTGGCTGGTCCTGCTGGCCGAGGCGGCAGCAGCGGAGGGCAGGCTGCCGGGGGCCAGCAAGAGCCCCTTCTCGCCCCAGCCCGGCCTGGTGCGCACGCCCACGGCCTTCAGGATGTCGTCCATCTGCTTGGCGTAGTCCAGGTGGCCGCTGACCTGCAGGAGCACAGTGGGTGAGGCCCAGGGCCCGTGGGCGGAGCCAGCCCTCCCCGGGGCGCCTGCCTCTCCGCAGCCCCAGCCAACAGCCACCAGTCCCATCGCTTAACCCTCCCCGGGGCCCACAGGCAGAGCAGGCTGCAAGGTGCCAGGAGCTCAGAAGCACCCACCCATCCTCAAAGACAAGCACACCCCATGTTTTTGTGGGGGTGCGCAGGTGCCCGAGCAGCAGGGGCCTGACTGGGATGCCCCGGGCCTCACTGTAAAAGAGACAATGCCCCGCACACAGTAGGTCCTCTGAACACAGTAGCCAAGGGGCTTTGGGGCCAAACTCCACTGACAGGTGGGGGCTGCTAACCACCGAGAGGTCAAGTGACTGGGACAAGGCCACACAGGCAGAACCCGTCAGAGCCGGATCTGAATCCAGGGCTGCTCCTAAAGCCTGTTCTCTACATGGAAAACCACTAGCACTTTTCAGAAGAGGAACTCAAGCACGCAGCCCCGGGAGAGCTCGGCCTCAGGCGGCGCCCGAGGGGCCCCTGGGCTCAGCCTCTCTCCCCAGCACAGGCAGGTGCAGGACAGGGGAGCCCCCGGGAGGCCGCCCCGCGGTGGCAGGGAGGTGGCCGGCAGGCTTCAGGGACAGCTGCACCTGCTCGAGTTCTGGTCTCAGCTCATCTGTGCTGGACTTGCCCCCGTATGCCCATCAGTCAGGTCTCCGGGCTGGTGCTGGTGCTGGGGGCAGGTCGTGGGGCCCAGGTTCATCTGCCATCCAGGGCACTGATGCGGGGTGGGGGTGGGGCAGGGCCCCCCAGAGCGCAGGGGTCTTAACAGGCATCCCGGGGGGGGGGGGGGGACGGCTAGTGTCTATCTGCTGTCACGCAGGATGGCGCCGCTCAAAGTGTCACACAGAAATCGGGTGCCAGTACTTGAAAGACGGCAGCCAACAAGGTAGCAACTGGCCACCAAAGTGGGCGTGGTCCCAGGCCCCTGGCACGGCCAGGGTTTCCCCGGCTGCAGTGTGCCCGTGGCCCTCCCCGACTTGGGGATCTACAGGAGCCGGGGCTAGGTCCCTTGGCTTCAGACCTAGCTTCGATCCGGCTCTGCCATATCCCAGGGGTGTGGTGTGATCCTGGCAAGGCCCCCCCGCATCCTGCAGCCTCGGTTTCTCATCCGCACAATGGGGATATGGGGGACTGTAAAAGGCTTAGGGCAGAGCTGGGCACAGACAACTCCACGCCCAAACTCCCCGTGAGAGGCCTGGGGCTGGTGGACAGGCATCTTTAGGCCTGACGGGGGATCCAGAAACTCAGACGGGGTTGGTGGGGGCTGCCCAGGTAGGTCCCGTTTCCCTCCATCCCCAGTGAAAATCCTTTTAAGTGCGTGCCTTTTAGCCTTGCCTCCTGTCATCGAGGAGGCTTGTCGGGGCAGGTGCAGCTGGTTAAGCCACTGCTTACAATGCCGGCATCCCCTGTTGGAGCTCCGGTTCCAGCCCCCGCTGCTCTGATTCGGATCCAGCTCCCTGCTAATGCACCTGGGAAGGCAGTGGACGATGGCCAAAGTGCTTGGGTCCCTGCACCAACATGGGAAACTCGGACGGGGCCATCTGAGGAGTAGACCAGCAGATGGAAGATCGCTCTCTGTCTCTCCCTTTCTTTTTAACTCTTTCAAATAAAACAAAATAAACTTTAAAGAAATAAAATGCAGGGGCTGGCGCTGTGGTGCAGTGGGTTGACGCCCTGGCCTGCAGTGCTGGCATCCCATAAGGGCGCTGGTTTGAGTCCCTGCTGCTCCACTTCCGATCCAGCTCTCTGCTGTGGCCTGGGAAAGCAGTGGAGGATGGGCCAAGTCCTTGGGCCGCTGCACCCCTGTGGGAGACCCAGAAGCAGCTCCTGGCCCTGGCTTTGGATCGGCTCAGCTCCGGCCGTTGAGGCAAATTGGGGAGTGAACCAGCGGATGTAAGACTTTTCTCTCTCTCTCTCTGCCTCTCCTCTCTCTGTTTAACTCTGACATTCAAATAAAGTAAATAAATCTTTGAACAAAGAAGAGATAAAATGCAGACTCAGGCGTGCACCGGCTGGGCACCGGCTGCCTGCGGCCAGGCCCTGTTCCGCGTCAGCGTGCCCGGCTTGAGCCCCCACTCCAGCTCCCTGCTAATGCACACCCCGGGGGGCAGCAGTGCCGCCGCAGCCCCCCACCCACACGGGAGGGAGACCGAGGCTGAACTCCAGCTCCTGGCTTCAGCGCGGCCAACCCCGGGCTGGTGCAGGCATTTAGGGGAGGGAAGAGGAGGATGGGAAATCTCTCTCCACCTCTCTGCCTTTCAAGCAAAATGTGAACAAACAAACAAACAAACAAACACAGGGGCCAGCGCTGTGGCGCAGTGGCGCAGTGGGTTAAAGCCCTGGCCTGAAATGCTGACATCCCATGTGGGTGCCGGTTCAAGTCCCTCCACTTCCGATCCAGCTCTCTGCTGTGGCCTGGGAAAGCAGTGGAAGATGCCCAAGTGCTTGGATCCCTGCACCCAGGTGGGAGACCCGGAAGAAGCTCCTGGCTCCTGGCTCCTGGCTTCGGATCGGTGCAGCTCCGGCCATTGCAGCCATCTGGAGAGTGAACCAACCTCTCTCTCTCTGTCTCTATTTCTCTCTGTAACTCTTTCAAATAAATAAAAATAAATATTTAAACAAACAAATAAATAAATACCAACAAAACACGCTGATTGCAGACTCTGCCCTCGGACGGCCGTGGAAGGTCTGGGCTGGGGCTGGGCTGGGCTGGGGGACCCCCCTTTTACACAAACCACAGGCCTTTCCCTGCCAGGTGCTCCTGCCATTGGTCTAGCCTGGGCCCTCCGCCTGCATCCTCTGCTCACGCTGATTACTTCCAGGAGGAACAAGGTGGGGGGAGAGTCCTGGGGGGAGCACTGAGGTGGGGGTGTCCATGTGGCGCCGAGAGGTCCAAATCCAGTCCTGACAGTTGTGAGAGGGGAACTTTCCTAACCTGTGAAATGGGGACAACAGCGCCTGCCCCGGGGGTTATGTGATCAGGGATGACAGGTGCAAAGGCGTCGGGACAAAGCCCCACACGGCGCAGGGGACAGCTGGATAGGGGCTGCCCCTGCCAGGGAAATCCCTATGACCCCCCCTCCCCCCTCCCCTCCCCTGCAGGCCAGGATGGGCCAGGACCTCTGTGTCCAGGGCAGGCGGGGCAAGCCACCCTGGGGAAGACGGGTCACTGCTCACCATCGAGGTCAGGTCCACGTTCTCCATCCGCCTGTCCTGCAGCTGCACGGGCTGCAGGCCGGCGACGCGCAGCTGCACGGAGGATGTGCGGTACACGAAGCTCAGCAGCCAGTCCCCCCTGAGGCGTGAAGGCCAGAGTGTGAGGTCAGCTCCGGGAAAGCGCGGGCCTGCCTGTCCCCGGGGTGGGGGTGGGGAGCCTGGTGGGCCTGGAGCTTCTGCAGGGCCCCTGATTGCCCGCGGGGAGGAAGCAGCTGCAGGGGACGCCCGCAGCAGGCCCGGGGCCCAGGGCTTCGCCCAGGCTCCCTGGGAGCGCCAAGAGGCTGTGTGCTTCCCTCCCTGCTGGGTCCCTAGAACCCAGAGCGGAGTCTGGCCCTTAACGGGGTGGGGCGGGGGGGGGGGGGATGAATGAATGCAGCTCTCCACAAGTGAGCTCTGCTCTGGTGAGGGAGGGGGGCTGGCTAGGGCTCCCTGGGAAAAGAAAGGCAGGGAGGGGGTCTGCTGTGCCACCACACCTGGCCCCTGGGTTTTCTTTCCGTAAGGGACACGGGGACAGTGCTACTTCCTCCACGGGGCTCCCAGAGGCTGTGCGAAAAGCTCAGGAAAGAGACTGCCTATGCAAAGACGGCTTCATGAAGGGACACAGTTTGGTACTGGTGGTCTTAACACCGCCCCGGCCCCTCCCATGCTCACAACAACTCCAAGGCCATTCACGGGGCGGGGACCGGATAGAGCCTGCACCTCTGCTCTACAGAGACCTGGCTCAGGGTCTCATAAGATAATGGAAGACTGAGCTGGCGCCGCGGCTCACTAGGCTAATCCTCCACCTGCGGCGCCGGCACACCGGGTTCTAATCCCGGTTGGGGTGCCGGATTCTGTCCCGGTTGCCCCTCTTCCAGGCCAGCTCTCTGCTGTGGCCCGGGAGTGCAGTGGAGGATGGCCCAAGTGCTTGGGCCCTGCACCCCATGGGAGACCAGGAGAAGCACCTGGCTCCTGGCTTCGGATCAGCGCGGTGCGCCGGCCGCAGCGGCCATTGGAGGGTGAACCAACAGCAAAAAGGAAGACCTTTCTCTCTGTCTCTCTCTCTCACTGTCCACTCTGCCTGTCAGAAAAAAAAAAAAAAAAAAGGAAGACCAAGCTTATCAGCCCGAGGTTCTCGGCAGAACAGGTGGGTTAGTAAGACGGGCTGCTTTCGTACGGTACACACGCAGTTTTAGTTCCTCCCCATCAAATACTGAAAATCCTCGCGCTCTGTGAACACGCCCAGTAGTCCACGCCTGGCACCTACGAGGTGCCACCCTTTCCCATCACCATCCCAGAAAGGAGGGACCGTGATTCCCAGTTTATAGGCAGGGGGACTGAGTGCCAGGGAAGTTCTTTGTCCAAGGCCACTTAAGAGGTAAACGCCTGAGGCAGGATTTTATGCCCAGACTGGCTGACAGCAACGCCCCTGTCCATTCATCCCTTTCTATTCTTGTCAAGCTGTCCTTCGTTCAAAACACCCAAGCAATGTCTCTGCAACGCCCGTGCCCCAGGGCACATGGTCAGCAGCCCCTTTCAGTTCTTCTAGAGCTTTCTGTGCCTCTCTGGACGTAGGTGGATATGTTAGGTAGGAAAGTCAGTTATGAGCTTATGTGTGTGTGACATAAAGGCCTAAAGAGAAGACATCTATGTCCAATTCTCTAGGGGGTCCTGCCCACCCTTCCTCCTGTCTGATAACATTTGCATCCATAAAGTCCTTTGTTTCAGACCTCCTAGTGAGAAGTTTTTCTATTTACATCCAAAAATCCCTTTACTCCAAGAGGAGCAGAGGTGGGGAAGCAAGACCCATCTCCTTAAAAACCCCCGGCCTCAACCGGACTGCGTGCTCAGCCCTCTGCCTCTATGCTGAGTCGCCCGCCTGGTCTGGCCAGGTGTACTCTCTCCACCCAACCATGTAACCTCACTCCTCCCCCTCCCCCCAAGTCCGAGCGACTGGGCACCCTCTCAGGCTCTGTCTGGAGAGGTGCCCATCCATCCTTACGGATGTCCCTTCCCTAATAAACCTTGCTATTTTACCTCCCACTACTCTCTGTCTCACGCCTGAATTCTTTCTTGCGCGAGACAAGAACCCTGCAATTTCTCCGGTAACAGATACACTCATGCAAACGTTTTCCCCTCCTAAATGGGATCATACTATTAACAAATTATTGCACTGGCTTTTCCCCTTAACTGTTCCCTATTTATGATCATTTTGGTTGCTTAACATTTTTAATGATAACGAAGCGGCCATGATCCCCTTTGTACACATGTCTGAGTATCTTGGATTGCAGGATCCTAAAAGTCAAAATGTGTAGACTCAGCAAATTGGCACTTCAAGATTCTGATGGAGGGACTGGCGCCGTGGCGCAGCGGGTGAAGCTGCCGCCTGTGACGCCTGCACCCCTGCTGCTCCACTTCCCATCCAGCTCCCTGCTAGTGTGTCTGGGAAAGCAGGGGAAGGTGGCCCAAGTGCTTGGGTCCCTGCCACCTGTGCGGGGGACCCTGATGAAGCTCCTGGCTCCTGCCTGGCCCAGTCCTGGCCATTGCAGCCATCTGGGGGAGTGAACCAGAGGATGCAAGTTCCCTCTCTCTTTTTCTCTCTAACTCTTCCAAAATCAATAAATAAATCTTAACACAATTTTTGATAGATATCGCCAAGTATCTTACCAAACAGTCACTAAACCCAGCTGCCACCAAGAGTGGGCGACACGGCTCGTTTTCCACATCTTCACCAACACCAAATGCTACTCACGTCTCAAACCTCTGACGAGCAGATTGGTAGGAAACAGGAACTCACAGATTTAAGTATGAAACGTGATGAGGCTGGACATCTTCCAAAAGCAAGCTCGTTATCTTATATGTACTCTATGAGTTTGTGCATAATTATCATTTGGTCATCTCCTTATTAGGTTGGATTTTTTTTTTTTTTTTTTGACAGGCAGAGTGGACAGTGAGAGAGAGAGAGATAGAGAGAAAGGTCTTGGTTCACCCTCCAATGGCCGCCGCAGCCGGTGCACCATGCTAATCCGAAGCCCGGAGCCAGGTGCTTCTCCTGGTTTCCCATGTGGGTGCAGGACCCAAGGACTTGGACCATCCTCTACTGCACTCCTGGGCCACAGCAAAGAGCTGGCCTGGAAGAGGGACAACCGGGACAGAATCCGGCGCCCTGACCGGAACTAGAACCTGGTGTGCCGGCGCCGCAAGGCGGAGGATTAGCCTACTGAGTCTCGGCGCCGGCCAGGTTGGATTTTTTAAAAAAGATTTATTATTTATTTGAAAGGCAGAGCAATGGAAAGAGAGAGAGAGAGAGAGAGAGAGAGAGAGAGAGAGAATCTTCCCACTGCTGGTTTACTCCCCAAATGGCCTGGGCCTGGGCCAGGTCTCCCATGTGGGTGCAGGGCCCAAGCACTTGGGCCATCTTCTGCCACTTTCCCAGGTGCATTAGCAGGGAGCTGGACTGGAAGTGGAGCAGTCGGGACTGGAATTGGCACAGTGTTACAAACAGTGGCATAACTTCCTGAGTCTCAATGCCAGCCTCTAGATTGGATTTATTGATTTGCATGGGCTGTTTATATAATATGGCTCTTTTGTCCCTTTTTTTTTTTTTTTTAGGATTTACTTACTTATTTATTTGAAAGCCAGAGTTACAGAGAGGGAGAGGAGAGACAGGGAGAGAGCAAGATCTTCTGTCCACTGATTCACTCCCCAGATGGCCAGGGCTGGGCCAGTCTGAAGCCAGGAGCCAGGAGCTTCTTCTAGGTCTCCCACACAGGTGCAGGGGCCCAAGCACTTGGGCCAACCTCTGCTGCTCTCCCAGACGCATTAGCAGGGAGCTGGATCAGAAGTGGAGCAGCCAGGACTTGCTTGAACTGGTGCCCATGTGGGATGCCGGCACCAATGGCCCGCTGTGCTCCAGCACCAACCCCGTTCTTTGTCTTTTTTGTTTGTTTTTCCCCACCATATCCTGATTCTAAGAACTCAGCTCAGAGCGTGAGTGATGGAGCCACAGTCCCGGCTGAACTCCCGCGTCCTGGTTACCCTGCATCCGTGGCTGAAACCCATCTTTAGCTTCGCACTACTTAGTGATGAGACTGCTGCTAATCATCCAAACAACAAAGACCTTCCAAAAAAATCCCATTCGCCTTCGGTGGTTGCGCTGAGATCAAAACGGACGCTAATGAGCCTCATCTGGACATCCACTAATTGCTGGCAGGAGAGGGAAGCCAACAGATCAGCATCTGGCCTATGATTTTGCTGCATCCGATGCAAAGCTGTCACTAACTCATCCACGGGCCCCGGCGTGTCGCTCCTGTTGTGGACTCCTGACAAGTGAGACCCAAGAGGTCAAGTCCAGGAGGTGGGGGTTTTGGTCTGGGTCAGTGTCGGCAGAATGGAGGGAGGTGGGCACAGTGAGAAGATTAGAAAGGCCCCCTGCGCCCAGCACACAGTGGGCACTCAGGGCAGACCTGCTGAACGAATGCAGTGCAAAAACTTGAGTATCTTTCAGAAACTCCCTCCTGGGGCCGGCATTGTGGCACAGTGGGCTAAGCCTCCACCTGTGGCCCTGGCATCCCACAAGGGCACCGGTTCGAGTCCCAGCTGCTCTACTTCCGATCCAGCTTTCTGCTATGGCCCGAGAAAGCAGTGGAAGATGGCCCAAGTCCTTGGGCCCCTGCACCCACGTGAGAGACCCAGAAGAAGCTCCTGGCTCCTGGCATCGGATCAGCTCAGCTCTGGCTGTTGTGGCCACCTGGGGAGTGAACCAGCAGATAAGACCTTTCTGTTTCTCTCTCTGCCTCTGTCTGTGATTCTTCCTCTCAAATAAATAATAAAATGGGATTAATAATACTGACACCATAGATGGTACTACACTTGATCTTAGCCAAAAGGCCGAGAAGCGATGACACCGTAGATGGTTACAACGATGGGGTCTCCCTGGTGGTAGGAGTGCAATGCTTGTTGCCATGGTCCAGACGTGGTTTGTCTCCCAAAGGTCCACGTGTTGGGGGGTGGGGCCTGGTGTGGTGACGCTGGGAGGCAGTGTGGCCCGGGGGTCAGTCCTCAGACTGAGTAGTGCACTTATTACATGTGCCCCAGTCCTCACTGTCACATTATTATCATTTTAGGTTTCTTTAGCCAAACTTCCAGGAGACGTGAGCTCCTGGCATCTGGTCTACCTCAGTATTCTCAGGCCCTGCACAAGGTCTCGGGCACACGCTCTGTGGGACACCTTTCAGGTGCTCCTAACCTCAGCCCCTGCTCCCCTTCTTTTTTTTTTTTAAGATTTATTTATTTATTTGAGAGGCAGACTTACAGACAGAGTGAGGGACAGACAGAAAGGTCTTCCAATTGCTGATTCAATCCCCAAATGGCCCCAACGGTAGGAGCTCAGCCGATCTGAAGCCAGGAGCCAGGAGCTTCTTCCGGGTCCCCTCACAGGTGCAGAGGCCCAAGCATCTGGGCCATCTTCTACTGCTTTCCTAGGCCACAGCAGAGAGCTAGATCAGAAGAGGAGCAGCTGGGACTTGAACCAGTGCCCATATGGGATGCCGGTACCGCAGGCAGAGGATTAGCCCATTAGGCCACAGCGCCGACCCCTCTGCTCCCATTCTAAAAGAAATTCCTGGGCCCTGCACCCCATGGGAGACCAAGATAAGTACCTGGCTCCTGCCATCGGATCAGCGTGGTGCACCGGCCGCGGCGGCCATTGGAGGGTGAACCAACAGCAAAGGAAGACCTTTCTCTCTGTCTCTCTCTCTCTCTCACTGTCCACTCTGCCTGTCAAAATAAATAAATAAATAAATAAAAATTAAAAAAAAAAAGAAATTCCTTGGCACTGGGACTCCAGCACTTGTCTCTCCGCACTTGGCCCTTCCAGTGGTCTCCCTGCCGGCGCCCTGGCTTCAGCGGAAACCCAGGAGCTACCAGGCTCCCCGGCCCTTGCTCCAGTCATGAGTCCGCCCAGAGCTCTGGTGCTGCCGTTCCAGCCGCCACAACCCAGCAGCACCTGCCGCCGTCCCAGCAAACCCTTCCCCGTATTTGGATTTTGATTGGCAGCCAACTTCCGGGGAAGCTGTGCGGTCATCTCCTGCTCTCTCTTTGTTGTCCTCCTACAATGAACTGCCCCACCTTATTATTTTTAAACTCCAGACTTGATCTTCCAACCTGGGCTTAGAACAGCCCCTTTCCTGGGGGATGGGGTCAGAATCCTGCGTGTGCGCCACAGTCCACAAACCCGGGCCCCTTGTCCACAATCTCCGGGGCTCTCCTGTGTTCCGGAAGCCATGGTGTTTTGGATTCTTAGGAAGGTATCAAGGCCGGCACCATGGCTCACTAGGCTAATCCTCCGCCTTGCGGCGCCGGCACACCAGGTTCTAGTCCCGGTCGGGGCGCCGGATTCTGTCCCGGTTGCCCCTCTTCCAGGCCAGCTCTCTGCTGTGGCCCGGGAGTGCAGTGGAGGATGGCCCAAGTACTTGGGCCCTGCACCCCATGGGAGACCAGGATAAGTACCTGGCTCCTGCCATCGGATCAGCGTGGTGCGCCGGCCGCGGCGGCCTTTGGAGGGTGAACCAACAGCAAAAGGAAGACCTTTCTCTCTGTCTCTCTCTCTCTCACACTGTCCACTCTGCCTGTCAAAAAAAAAAAAAAAAAAAAAAGAAAAAAAAAAAAGAAGAAGGTGTCTGGCATGCAGCGTGTGTTTCATAAAATATTCCTGCGAGGTCTGGGGTGGTGCCCTGGCCACCGAGCCCATGAGCACAGTGGAGAAGCCAGGTTCACTGTCGCCGCCCACTGGGTCACCTGCACTCAGCCTGGGGAGGAAGCCTTGGGATTTCAGAGCCTCTGGGGTTTTGGCGTCACTGACAAGCACTTGTGCACCTGCCTGCGGTCACCTGTTTTCGTGCCTCTCGGCTCTGCTGGACGCTGGATCTCAGGAGGCTGGGGTGGGGTCTCACCCTCTGTGGAGCCCCACCACAGTGCCTGGCACGAGCTCGGTGCTCACTAAGTCATGAATATCCCAGGTGACTGATGAGCCGGCGCTGTGGCACAGCAGGTAAAGCTGCCGCCTGCAGTGCTGGCATCCCATATGGGCGCCGGTTCGAGTCCCGGCTGCTCCACTTGCCATCCAGCTCTCTGCTGTGGCCCGGGAAAGCAGCAGAAGATGGCCCGATGCTTCTTGGGTCCCTGCATCCATGTGGGAGGCCCAGAAGAAGCTCCTGGCTTCTAGCTTCCGCCTGGCCCATTGGGGAGTGACCCAGTGGATGGAGGATCTCTCCCTGCCCCGCCTTTGCCTCTGCTTCTCTGTAACTCTGCCTTTCAAATAGATAAATGAATTTTAAAGATAAATAAACAGTGGGTATCAGCCCCTGTCATCCACAGGAAACGTGCATTCCATGGGCAGCCCCAGGCAGTGCCACGGCAGTGATCCCTCTGTGCTGAAGGGGAAACTGAGGCAGCACAGACTTGCAGTAGCCCCCCAGCCAGCTGTGCACAGACATGCAGTAGCCCCCCTCCCCCAGCCAGCTGTGCACAGACCTGCAGTAGCCATTGACGATCCTCCCCGACACCACCTTCCGGAAAGGCTCCCAGTGCCGAGCCTCTCCCTCCACCGGTGCCCCCAGCAGGACCACGTCCTCGACGATGCCCTGGCAATCTGGTGAGAGACCCCAAAACGTCTGTCAGTGACCTGGCCACAGACGCTCCAACAGTGGAGGAGGTGAACGTCATACACATGAGAACATGGACACACATGCACACGGAACACAGGAACACAAGCACACGGGACACACACATGCATCCGGGAACACAGACACACATGTACATGAGAACACGCATGTACACAGAACATGGACATACATGCACACAGAGCATGCACACAGGAACACAGGAACACAAGCACATGGGACACAGACACACGTGCATCCGGGAACACAGACACACATGTACATGAGAACACACACATACACAGAACATGGACATGCATGCACACGGAGCATGCATACAGGAACACAGACACACATGTACATGGGGACACAGACACACATGTACATGGCACGTGGACACACACGCACATGGAGCATACACACACACATGGGAACACAGGCATGCATGCACACAGGGACACGGCACACACGCACACTGCACAGTACCGAGTCCCAGACCCTGTGTGCCTGTTCTGTTCCCCTACAGCAGCCCGGCTGCCGCTGTAGAGTTGAGGGAAAACCAAATTCCTGAGCAAGATCGCACGGCTAACAAGCGACTCTGCCCGAGGCGGGACCCAGGCCTCTCCGCCAGCCACGCGGCTCACACGAGCTGTGGCCGTGGCCGAGACGCCTTCCTTTAGACAGACTTCTGAGCCGGGTGGCGTCATGCTCATCGGAGCGGAGGCACCGCCACCGGCCTCTGCTACAGCCTCCCCGGCTCTGTGCAGCCCGGCGGGGACAGGTGGGTCCCAGGGGCGAGAGCGCACTGACCTGCTGGGTCAGGAACAGTTCCGGCCGGACTGCGGACCAGGGCCCTTGCGGGATGGGAAAGCGGCACCCGGTGGAAACCAAACGGGCCCCACCTGGGCGTACAGACGGCGCTTTGAGAGCTGTCGTCTCTGGCTCAAATCAACGAACGAGAGGCTCACGCACCCCCTGCCCCGGCACCGTCCCCCACCTTGGCTTTTCCTCCTGGTCACGCATGTTTCTTTCTTGTTTGCCTCCTTCGTTCTCGGGGACTTGAGCCGAGTGGCTTCACCCCTCCAAACCTAGCGGAGGACGAGGACAGCAGCCTTGCGGGGTTGCTGTGAGGACTGTCCCAGTGGGAGATCGTCACAGAGAGCAGCGAGGCTCAGAGAGGGGCTGGGACCTGCCCAAGGTCACACAGCAGAATGAAGCTGGGAGCAGAACCCAGACTATACAGAGAGCCCAGGGTTCCAGGGCCGTTCTCTCTGCTGCTGTAACACCACGCACGGCGAGCAGGGGAGGGTCCTCGCTGCTCCCAGGGTGCCCCAGGGCTGTGGACCAGGGCCAACCCCGGCCAGCAAGAAGCCTGCCTCCCTCAGGAGCTGCGCAGCCTTAGAGCCCAAGCCTGGAGGGCGGGGACCCCTTGTGGCCAACGGTGGTAACAGCTGCCATTCCGGAGCAACCGTGGCTCACGGAAAGCTGTGAGCAGAAGCAGGATGGTAGCTGCCTGTGACCTTGACCTGAGGTGAGGCGTGGACCCTCACACCATAGCCCCAAGTGCACCAAGCCGCGTCTGGTTGGGCAGTGAGCTCTCTGAAGCTGCCCTGCACGCCTCCCCCTCGGCTCCCTCCCAGCACTGCCACCTTGCGATGCACTCGGGTATTTTAAGGGGGGTTTGCACGGCCTGGCAGCAAGGCTGGACAGAAGCTGCGCGGTGGGCTCCTAGCAATGTATGGGTGTTAGCTGCAGGACGCCAGCGGGAATCACCTAGGCCCGCCCATGGTGGGACGGGCAAGTGGGCTTGAGGGCGGAGCCCACCGCCCCCCTACCCGACTCTTCCTGGAGATGGGATGGTCTGGGATGGGACACGCTGGCTGCTGCAGCAGCTGCTGCAAAGGGAAAAAAGCCAACATCCACTGCTGGTGCCAAGCCTTGTAATACCAGGCTCTTTCAAGCATCTAGGCCAAAGACAGGAAGTCCCCGTGCTGGAACCACGTTTAGCGCCAGGCGGCCCCTTCAGATCGTCACGAGGACCTGGTGCACACGACCAGCAGAGGCTGGAGCGTGACGGCTTCACAACCACCCATGGGGGAAGACCTCAGGGTCTCTCGGCTCGGGGGCGCTGAGTTTGCTGGGACTTGTTGGGTGTACACCTCCGGCGCCACCGGCGGTTCTTCTCCCGGGTTTTTAAGGTACTGAGATAGCCCTCTGGCTTTTCTCAGACTTGGAGCTTTCACATGGAAGAGGCCAGGGGTCATCTTCAAGCTCAGGGGTCGGAGATGCACCGGCTTTCCTCCTTCCGCTGTGAGAACTGGCGGCTCCCTGAGCAGGCTCCAGGTCGCCAGCGGCTAGACAGGAACAGCTGTGTCGGCCAGGTTTTCACCCTCTGCTTGGGAGCTGCCATTCACACACGCGGGTAAAAACGGTTCCTTCCAGCACTGTCTTTGCTCTGCCTCTTATCTTTATTCTTTTTTAAAATATTTATTTATTTGACAGGCAGAGTTAGAGAGAGAGAGAGAGAGAGAGAGCGTGTGCTTCCATCCACCGGTTCACTCCCCAAATGGCCACAACAGCTGGGGCTGGGCTAGGCCAAATCCAGGAGCCAGGAGCCTCATCGGGTCTCGACTACGTGGGTGCAGGGGCCCAAGCCTGTGGGCCATCTTCTGCTGCTTTCCCAGGCCATTAGTGGGGAGCTGGACTGGAAGTGGAGCAGCCGGGACTGAAATGGGCGCCCATATGGGATGCCACCAGCGTTGCAGGGGGCGGCTTTACTGGCTACACCAGAACTCCGGTCCCTATCCTCCATGTTTTTGGTAAAGCTTTCTTTTTCTATTCATGCTGGGCAACCATTTCTCTTCTGTGACACGGGTTTGTTGCCACAGTCCTCCTCTGTCTTCCCCCTTCTCTCCCACAGGCTCGAGTTTCAAAGTGGCGTTGTTGGCATCGCCACCCTCAGCCAAGGTGATGGCAGCAGAGCCATCTTCTTCACCTGTCCCCTCAATGCCCGCCTCGTGACGCTGTCCATCTTCACCCCGGCCCGCCACACCTGTGTCACCTACTCTGCAGGGACGAGTGGCTGCGCAGAAGCAAAGCTGCCTGAACCTGCAGGTTTCCGAAGGTTGAGGGGACGGAGGGTCTCCGGTCACCTCTGCGACTTCTTGTAAGCCTCCCTTCCACTCAGCGAACCTTCACTGTCTCCATTCCCGGACAAGCGACCTCCTCCGGCTGGAGCTGAGCTTTGTGGCTGGCCAGCCGCTTCGCTAGACCCTGGGACAGCTGTGTGGGGTGGGGGTGGGGCCGCGGGAAGGGACGGGGGCGCCGGGGCAGCAGCCTGGGCTCCTTATCTATTCCTAACACAAGAGCCAGAGCGGTCTGAGTCCGGGGCGCGCGGCGTGTCCCCAGGGTGATGGAAATATGCTCCAGAGGTGGCTCCCGGCGAGAGCTGGCCCAGCTCCGTCCACTCAGGAGGAGTCCCCCACGCCTGCACTTCCAGCGGGTGGATCTGTGGTCTGCAAATCCCCTGCGGGGCAGTGGGGTCGTGTCACTCCCGAGCTCAAAAGCCCTCCCGTGGGAGCCCCCTCGCACGGAGTGGAAGTCAAAGCCCCTCACTCACTGGGCTCCAGCCAGCCCGGCCTGGCTGCCCCCTCTTGCAGCTGCTCCTCCCTGCACCTGCCAGGGCCCCGCCCCCTACCTGCTTGCTTTTCTCCAGAGCACTTGCCAGTCGCGGATGTACCCCCTGCTCTGCTCCCAAACGGACTGCTAGTCCGTGCCCCCTGGAATGCAAGACGCACAGGGCTGGACCGTCCCTGGAGCGTGCTCTCAGGTCCCCAGTGCCCAGGACGGCACAAGCCTCCACGGGCAGGGTCCTCACGTCTGTCCTTTTCTGGTTTCTGCCCCTTCTGCCCAGCAGTGATAATCAGGGCCTCTGAAGCCCGGAGCAAAGCGAAGGCGAGCAGGTGCACAGAAGCACTGCCCGGCCCTTCTCAGCTCCTCCACCGCTGCCCCCTACAGTCCCGTTCTGGGGGGCCGATACCCCCGAGAGTGATGGCAGCGTTCAGGGTTAGAATAACGAGTGGGCCTTCCGGTACCAGTCTCTTCCCCACCCCAGTCTCGGACAATGTGATCCCAAGGCCCCCAGGGTGGGGGGGCTCCCAAGAAGCACCCAACGCTGGCTGTTTACTGAATCCTACAGAGAGGAGGCCGGGGTGATGGCTCACGTGGTGGGGTCCCTGCACCCCCATGGGGGAGACCTGGACAAGTTCTTGGCTTGTGGCTTGGGCCTGGTTCAGCCCCAGCTGTTGAGGGCAGTTCGGGAGTGAACCTGTCTATCTCTCGCTGTGTCTCTAACAAAAACACTGAAAGGCACAGAAGAAGGCTCAGGGTATCCAGCAGACCTCTCGGCTGACTCCCGGCGTGGCTCAGGGCCCCCATCGCTAGGGGCAAAGACGCAGGGCGAGTTACGGCCACACAGTGCGGTGGACGCTCCTGGGCTCACCATCTGCTGCCAGGGTCTCCAGGCTGTGCGCAATGCGGCCGAGATGCGTAGAATTCCTGGATTCACAGGGACGTTTGATCATCCCGTGTTTCTCTGTTAGCAGACGCTGGAAGTCTGACTCCTACAGCGTGTGCTCTGTGGAGAAGCGGGTGGGGCCGCCACCTGTGGCACCTGCATCTCATATGGGCACCGGTTTGTGTCCCAGCTGCCCCACCTCTGATCCAGCTCCCTGATAATGGCCTGGGAAAAGCAGCAGAGGATGGTCCAAGTGCTTGGGCCCCTGCCACCCACATGGGAGACCCAGCTGACGCTCCTGGTTCCTGGCTTTGGCCTCGCCCAGACCTGGTCATTACAGCCATCTGGAGAGTGAATCAGTGGACAGAAAATCTTTCTCTCTCTGTAACTCTTTCAAATAAATACATAAGTCTTTACTTATTTATTTTAGGATTTATTGGAGAGGCAGAGTTAGAGTTAGAGTTAGAGAGAGAGAGAGATTGAGAGAGTCTTTCATTTGCTGGTTCACTCCCCAGATGGCCACAATGGCTGGAGCTGTGCTGATCTGAAGCCAGGAGCCAGGAGCTTCTTCCAGATCTCCCACATGGTACAGGGGCCCAAGGACTTGGGCCATCTCCCACTGCTTCCCAGGCCACAGCAGAGAGCTGGATGGGAAGTGGAGCAGCTGGGACTTGAATTAGTGCCCATATGGGATGCTGGCGCTATAGGCGGAGGCTTGGCCTGGTACGCCACAGCGCTGTACACCCCACCCCCCATAAATCTTTAAACAAGAAAAAAAGCAAGGGTCACACACTCAGTGAGGTTGGGAGCCACCCGTCACCTGGAAATGGCCTGACCTTTGGCACTAGAAACCTGGCCTGCACCCTCATTTTGCCAGGGTATGAACGGATGCAGTCAGCTCTTCATTGACGAGGGGCTCGGCTTCCTCCTCTGTTGACTGCCAAGGGCAAGGGCACAGTTGTGTGGTCAGGGCTGTGTGAGGCGTGCTGGCCAGTGGGGGCTGCTCCAGACCACCCACTCGGCAGTCACGTGGAAGAGGTGTGTGCAGAACACTGGGCAGGCAGCTGCTCATGGCAGACACTACTCTGGGAGCCCAGCAGTGGTCGGGGTGGGGGTGGGGTGCCCAGAGGGGGTGGCAGTGACCACAGCCATCTTCCCCGTTACAGCGGAGAGGAGAGCCTCCACAAGGAAACAGCCCAAGAGCTGCAAACGACGGTTAAACACTTCCTCATCTACTCGCTTGGTTTAAAACAATTTGATTTAGGAGCCAGCATTGTGGCACGCTGGGTTAAGCCTCCGCCTGCAATGCCTGTATCCCATGTGGGCACTGGTTCCAGTCCCAGGTGCTCCAATTCCAATCCAGCTCTCTGCTAATGTGCCTGGGCTGAGCAGCGGGAGATGGCCCACATGCTGGGCCCCCGCACCCACGTGGGAGACCCTGATGGAGTTCCAGGCTCCTGGCTTCGACCTGGCCCAGCTCTGGCCATTGCAGCCATTTAGGGGTGAACCACTGGATGGAACAGCTCCCTCTCCCTCTCTCTCAACAGATACATAAATCTTTAACATTTCAAAAATTTATGTGAGAGACAGAAATGTCCCATCTGTGGCTGACTCCCCAAATGCTTTCAACAGGCAGGAGCCGGAGGTGCAATCCAGTTCTCCCAGAAGGGTGGCAGGCAGCCAATCGCTGCAGCCGTGTCGGCTGCCTCCCAGGAGCTGTCCGAGCAGGAAGCTGGAGGCAGGAGCTGCAGCCCAGAATCAAACCCAAGTGTGCTAATGCGGGACGCAGGTGTCTCAGTTGGTGTCTTTACCACCAAGATAAATGCCTGTGTCGGCTTTCCAACGCTAGTGTGGCAAAACACACACAATTACATCCTCTCTTAGTGCACAGGCATCTCTCTCGTGCAGGCATCTTGGCAACGTTTATCCGCCGGAATGTGGGTAGATCCATTCGTCGGAAAGCCGCTCCTATGAATCTGGCTTGCCATGCTTTACCTGGGACTCCTGGGACGGCGGGTCTATCCCACCGGGCACGCCCAGCAGCCTGGGGTCTCCTCTGCTTTTCCCCACACGTGGTGAGCTGGGCACAGCCCCCCACGCCCACCCCTAGAGCCAACTTCAGCTTGCATGCCAGCCTTGGTGTTGAAAACTGTGGATGAGCTGAGTTTTTGCAAAACGGTACACCCTTCAGATGTGCCCAGGGGGCCCAGCGATTCAAAAGCATCTCACAGACATCCTGCAGGGAGGGCCCAGGGAAGAGCCACGCGGAGCCCCACCTCTGTCACCGTGCCCTTCCCCGCAGAGCCAGGCAGGGCTGGGAGCAGCCTCCCGTGGGAGTCACGTGGCCGGCCCCGCGACCGCTTGCACTCCCCCATGCCCCTCACGTCGTCGGCATCGGTCACGAGATCCTCCAGGGATGGAGCAGCAGGAAGGAGGGCGGCTCTCCTGCCTCCTGCAGGGGCTCGTGTGTGCAGCGAGAGATAAGGCAGGACGCTAAGGAGAGGAGTTATCTCCCGACCGCAGGCGCAGGAAACCGACTTTGGTGGAAATGATGAGCATGGCACCTGCGCCACCGCGGCTCAGCGCGAAGACGCACGCACAGCGACGGCACAGAGGGAAGCCACAACAGTGCAGCGGGACAGCGGGGGTTGAAAGGGGGCTCTGACCGCAGCCCGAGGTCTGGGGATGAAGCCTTGGGGGCTCACTGCAGCTCCGCGGAGGAGAAATGCATCACAGGGAGGCGGAAGCACCGGCATGATTTTCAGCCCAAGGGACTGGGCCCGGGGTGTGTGAGTGCGAGAGACCCCGCCTCAGTCATCTTGCAGCCGGCGTGGGCGGCAGGGCTGCTAACTTCAGAGGGACAGGGAGCGGCACTGAGAGAGATTCTGCCGCGACGCAGTTTTTAAAACGTAGTTCTGGGGTTGCATTCCTTGGCCTGCTTCTCTAACCGCCCCTTCATCATCGCAACCCACACGGGACAGGCTCAGGACACCACACTTTGCACACCTGCTCTTCTGGCAGGGAGGCCCGAGGGTCACAGCGGCTCCCTTCCCTGGGAGACCTCGCCGCAGAGGCAGTAAGCAGCCTGTCCAGGGCCACACGGCACGTGGCAGGGGATTTGCTTATCCCTACATCTTCCCTCCCATTCTCTGGTTCCACTTCCCTTTAAACATCTCTCTCTCTCTTCCTTTTAAAGATTTATTTATGGGGCCGGTGCTGTGGCACAGCAGGTACAGCTGCCACCTGCAACGCTGGCTTCCCATATGAGCACGAGTTCCAGCCCCGGCTGCTCCACTTCTGATCCAGCTCCCTGCTAATGCACCTGGGAAAGCAGTGGAAGATGGCCCAAGTGCTTGGGCCCCTGCACCCATGGGGGAGACCCTGAGGAAGCTCCTGGCTCCTGGTTTTGGATCAGCCCAGCTTCGGCGGTTGAGACCATCTGGGGAGTGAGCCAGCAGATGGAAGACCTCTCTCTGTCTCTCCCCTTCTCTCTTTGCCACTCTGCCTTTCAAATCAATAAATCTAAATAAATTAATAATCTAAAGCATTATTTGTAAGCAATCCTCTTTTTTGCCTTTTAAGATTTTTATGGTTGTAGTTCTGCAATGTAATACTTTGTACCTTAATGTACAACATATCTACCTTAAGACTTACATTCCTTGAATCTCAGGAATCAACCTGGAAAATTCTCAGCCATTTTTTCTATCTCTCCTCTGTCATCTCCTGTTGGGATCTACAGCAGGCAGCTGTTGAACCCTGGCTTCTGCTTCCCGCTTGTCCCTCACTTCTCTCTCCGCCATGCGTCACGGTAGCCCTTTCACACGATCTGGGTTCTCTCTCCTTCTGTGTCCAGTATGCTGTCTAACTCACCCAGGAAGGCTTTCATCGCAATGACTTTTTTCATTTTTAGATTTTTTTTAACTTTAACAGATTCAATACAGTTCAGATACAATTCTTACAATGCTTTTCCCTCCCTCCCATTCTCCCCCTTCTTTTATTTCAAGATTTATATATTTATTTAAAAGGCACAGTTACAGAGAAAGACAGAGAGAGAGAAGGAGAGACAGAGATCTTGCATCTGTTGGTTCACTACCCAAATGGCTGCAATGGACCAGGGCTGGGCCAGGCTGAGGCCAGGAGCCTGGAACTTCGTCCGGGTCTCCCATGGGTGGTAGGGACCCAAGTACTTGAGCCATCATTGCTGCTCCCAGGATCTATGTTAGCAGGACGCTGGAATCAGAAGTTGGGACTCGAACCCGGGCACTCTTATATGGGACAGAGGCATCCCAAGCGACTTCTTAACCACGGTGCCAAAGGCTTGCCCTGTACTGTTTTTGTTGTTAATTAATTTTTATAAGATTAATTAATTAATTAATTTATTTATTTATTTTTTTTTTGACAGGCAGAGTGGACAGTGAGAGAGAGAGACAGAGAGAAAGGTCTTCCTTTGCCGTTGGTTCACCCTCCAATGGCTGCCGCGGCCGGCGCACCGCGCTGATCCGATGGCAGGAGCCAGGAGCCAGGTGCTTTTCCTGGTCTCCCATGGGGTGCAGGGCCCAAGCACCTGGGCCATCCTCCACTGCACTCCCGGGCCACAGCAGAGAGCTGGCCTGGAAGAGGGGCAACCGGGACAGAATCCGGCGCCCCGACTGGGACTAGAACCCGGTGTGCCGGCGCCGCTAGGCAGAGGATTAGCCTAGTGAGCCGCGGCGCCGGCCCTAATTTATTTGTTTTAAAGTCAAAGTTACACAGAGAGAAGAGAAGAGAAGAGAAAAGAAGAGAAGAGAAGAGAAGAGAAGAGGCAGAGAGAAAGAGAGGTCTTCTATCTGCTAGTTCACTCCCCAACTGGCTGCAACTGCTGGAGCTATGCCGATCCGAAGCCAGGAGCTTCTTCCAGGTCTCCCACGCAGGTGCAGGGGCCCAAGGACCTGGGCCATCTTCTACTGCTTTCCCAGGCCACAGCAGAGAGCTGGGTTGGAAGTGGAGCAGCCAGGACTTGAATTGGCGCCCATGTGGGATGCCGGCACCATAGGCAGAGGCTTTACCTGCTATGCCACAGTGCCGGCCCTGTTAATTAATTTTTGAAAGGCAGAGTGATAGAGAGGGAGAAAGAGATACATAGATCAATTGATCAATCGATCGCTCGATTATCTTCCATTCCCTGGTTCACTCCTTAAATGACTGCAATGGCCAGGGCTGGTCCAGGACCAAGTCAGGAGCCCAGAACTCCACCTGGCAGCGGGGGCCCGAGCACTCGGGTCGTTGTCTGCTGCCCTCCCAGGTGCATTAGCAGGGAGCTGGATGGGAAACGAAGCAGCCAGGACTGGAAGCAGCGCTCCGATGTGGGATACTGGCGCCACAAGTGCCGGCTTCAGCCGCTGTGCCAGCCCCAATCTGTTTACTTTGTACTATTCCTGTTACTTATGACAAGCTGCACCAAGGTGCTATCTCAGGGAAAATTTCCCGTTAGAATAATCCGTGTATGCAGAGACCAGGAGTCGATACAGAAGTAGGGACGAGGGGCCTCTCTGGTAAGGGGCAGTGATGTCAGCCACGATACTACAGGAGCCCGGCGAGTGATCCCACCTCCCGGTGTCCGCGGCTACGGGTCACGTGGCTCAGCGTGTCTGAGTCCACGTGGCTCCTGGTGGTCTCAGGACCAGAGCGTCAGGATTGCTTCCTGGTGGCCCAGCTGTTGTGAAACCGGTCACGGACCCACTTAGGCTGGGAGCTACTCCAGGTGCAGTGTGACTTCCGGCTGCTCCCCGGCCGCTGCCTGGAGCTGCAGCACCCTGCACCGTACTCCTGAAGCCAACGGCACAGCCGCGGCTGGGGAGGGGCCCCCAGGACACAGAGCTCCCGGAGAAGGCTGGGGGCGATGGGGCTTCATGGCCAGCTCCTGCATGAGCAGCCCCGGCGAGCTGTACAGCCCCAGATGGCGGAGCGGCTGAGACCCGGCGGCAGCTGGCGCCTTTGAACGTCCCCGTGGACCTGCGTGGGTGTCCAGGTTACGCCTTGGCATAGGCTACTGCCTCGAAGCCCAGGGAGGACAGAATCCCATCGTGAGTCTGCTCCCGGCTCTTCCTCGTCCCCTACGATAAGGAGATGCAAATCACCCACCTGGGGAGACCCCATGGACTGCAGAAAGCTCACCCCAGGAACCAGTGCAGTTCCACGTGTGCGTCTTGGGGTGTGGACAGCCCCTGCAGGCGTATGGCAAGTCACCCCGACTAAGGAGGGACTGCTGTGTGTACAAGGTTAAGCCTCTGCCTGCAGCACTGGCATCCCATGTGGGTGCCGGTTCGTTCCGGGCTGCTCCACTTCTGATCCAGCTCCCTGCTATGGCCTGGGAAAGCCACGGAAGATGCCCCAAGTGCTTGGGCCCCTGCACCTGCGTGAGAGACCTGGAAGAAACTCCTGACTCCTGGCTCCGGATCCACTCACCTCTGGTGGTTGTGGTCAACTGGGGAGTGAACCAGTGGATGGGAGACCTCTCTCTCTGCCTCTCCCTCTCTCTGTCTGTAACTCTGCCTCTCAAATAAAAAAAAATTTTTTTTAAAAGATGATGGCCCAAGTGCTCAGGCCCCTGCACCCACATAGGAGACCTGGAAGAAGCTGCTGGCTCTTGGCTTTGGCCTGGCCCAGTCCCAGCTGTTGTAGCCATTGTGGGGTGAACCAGCAGATGGAAGATCTGCCTCTCCTTCTCTCTCTGTGTCTCTGCCTTTCAAATAAATAAATAAATCTTTAGGGGAAAAAATGGCAGTGCTGCTCCGAACATGGCACAGCAGCTGCCAGCCCCTGCCTGCCCGGCTTGCCCGTGGCTTCCCTGCAGCCTGTTCCAATGCCTAGCTCTGCTCTCTGTGTGTTCTGGTGAATTCTTTCTCCTCGGCCTCCATCGGCTGCTTCCCACGACAGTAATGGAATCAGCTTTCTACTTCTTTGTCTTTTTTAAAGTAAGAAAATCCTTGAGTAGACTGTTTCTCCCCGTCTTGGATCTGGGAAGGCTGTCATGGAAACCATGGCTTATTTCCGGCAACGGCCGCTGGGGGGCGCACCTGCGCTCGGGCAGGCGAGAGGTCACCTCCCGGAGCATTGGAGCTGGGAAGCACCCGGCTGCGGGGGAGGCCCTCCCCTCCCCCAGGATGACGCCTGCCAACACCCGTCCCGGGCACTGAGGAGCAGCCCTTCTCCCTGGAGCCTAACACGTGCTGATCCAGGGAGATGAAAACAAGAATGCAGTCGGTGGCACGGACGCTTCTCAGGAAGTAGCAGCGGCTGCAGAAGCCCCAAGGAGAGGCACGGCAGACCCCTCCCCTTGTGGACACTCACTGTGGGCTGGGCTGGGAAGCCCGTGCCCTCTGGAGGCTGCCGCGAAGGGGCGCTGTGGCAACCACGGGAGCTCCGGGGGGTCTCCAGAGGGTGGGGGGTGGTCTCTAGAGCGGGGCCCTCCCCCCGAAACTTCCAGAAATGCCTTCTGCTTGGAGCGTTGCAAGTGGCAGGCAGACCACACCCCAGGGCACCTGCTGCCGTGGCCCTAACTGGCTGAACAGATACAGATCTCCAAGGGGCAGCAGAAAGAACCCAGGGTGTGGGACGGGTGCAGGGCCCTCCCTTGCGACTGTTGCTTATGAGCTGTGTGACCCCGAACAGATCCCTTGAGCTCTCTGAGCCTGTTCTCTGGAACAACGGAGACAGTGGCCACGTGCCTCCCTCCTGCCCGCATCCAAGCTGGGGAAGGGGTGCGAGGGGCAAGTGGTGTCCAGCTGCAGGGAGGGCAGGGCCCGCATGTAGGGGCTGTGTGCACAGTCTCCTGGCCTCGTGGGGACGGAGTCTGCCTGTGGCTGTGCCCTGCCAGGGTACCCGGGTGATGTCTGCTGGCTCGTGGGCAAACATGAAGGTGCCTCTGGAGTTGGAGGGAGGGTGGGATTCAAGGGTAAGAAGGTTTTGAACACCACGCGTGGGTTTTCCCGTAACCTGTGTTTTCCAGAAACTCACTGAACAGCAGGTCAAACTCTGCCTCCAGGTGTCTGCTCTCCTGTTCATCTCTCACCAGAGCTCCTGGCGGAAACTATGGTGCAGGGCGGGGCGGGGCGGGGCGTGGGTGTGGAGCCTTGTGGTTAAGACGCCCGTGCCCCTGAGTCGCTGTCGGGCTGCCCCTGACTCCAGCTCCCCGCGGGTGCAGTGGTCATGGCTCCAGGATCTCCTGGGACATCTGCATCGCATTCCTGGTGCTCCTGGCTTTGGCCCCGGCCCAGCCTTGGCCGCTGTGGGCGTCTAGGGAGTGGATGAGAGCTCCGTGCTCTCAAGGAGGGAAGTAAATAAAAGAGACCGTGGCTCGGGTCCCTGGTCCTCCCTGGGCAGTCACCTCCCTGCGCCTCTGGGTCACGGGTGCTGCAGGCCCCAGAGCTCAGGCCTCCTGCCTGCCTCGCAGCCTCTCGGGATTTACCTGTTCTTCTACACCTGGCCCCTCCTCCCAGAAGCCTTCCTTGCCTTCCTGTCCTCCCGCTGCAGCCCTCCCTGTGCACTGGGACCGTTATCACTGCT